AGCTTCTGGTTCTCTCTTTTGATTTTATATTGGAGTGGCCGATTGCTTTTGTCTTCCGGAGTTCCCACAGAGGCCCAAGCCAGATGAGGATTAGGTGCTCTCAGGCTTTCTCCTAAGGGCTGGGTCCCTCCAGAAGAGATTTTGGCCTCATGAATTTGGGGGTTGGACTGGCCTGGGAGTCAGGCCCAGGAAAGATGCTGCTCTAGGGCAGCTGGTGGCCTTACCACCCAAAGATGCAAAGGAAGATGGGGGCGGGAGGTGGCCCCAAGGGCCCCTGGGGACTTCACTGAGGAGCTGGCTTGGTCTGGATGCAAAGGACCAGGAAGAGGAAAGGTCAGCCCAGGCGTCCAGGAAAGAGGCTGGAGGGCTGTGCAGACCCAGGAAGGCAGAGGGAGGTGATGGTGGAGCCGGGCCCAGAGCACCCCTGGGGACCCGAGAAGGAACTGAGTTGGTCTGGATGCACAGGATCAGGAAGAAGCAGTGGTGGTTCCCCAGGTGTCTGGGGCCCCAAGATAAGGAATGGGACAGGGCCCAGGCTATGAGGAGAGACAGGCGACAGGTGGGGGAGATGGGAGGGTGAGAGGGCAAGATCGACTTACCCTGGGGAGAGAGAGGCCTGCCGGTGGGAGAGAAGCCTGAGGGTCCTGCAGGCCCAGGAAGCAGAGGGAGGTCAGGGTGGGGCCAGGCCCAGAAGCAGTGCTCCTGGGGACCTGAGAAAGAACTGAGTTTCTCTGGATACACAGGATCAGGAAGCAGTGGTGGTTCCCCAGGTGTCTGGGGCACCAAGACAAGGAATGGGACAAGGCCCAGGCTAGGAGGAGAGACCAATGGGGTAGATGGGAGGGTGAGTGAGGCTGAGGGAGTCAAGGTGCAGAGAGCCCAATTGACTTACCCCAGAGAGAGAGAAGCCTGTGGGTCCTGCAGGCCCAGGGAAGCAGAGCTGTTTTTTAGATTTTTACATTTAAATTTCATGTATATGAGTATTTTGCCTGCATGTCTGGTGAACTCCATGTCTCTCTCTCCAGCCTCTCCTTTACAACAGCTCTACATTCTGACAGGCTAACTCTCTGCCCTCTCTACCCTACTGAGCGGCCCCCTCCCATGTCCGGGGCACTCAGTGCCTTGCCCATCACCCAGGCCTGTCCCTGTGGCCCATCCTCCCTCCACCTCCAGCGCTTTCCTATGAGGTTTTTCTCTGCTCTGAAAGATTCACAGGTCTTTTCTCTGTGACTCTAGTTGTAGCCACCATTCTGAAAGCCCACCATTGCTTTTGAGTTCCTTCCCTGTCTCCCCAGGCCCTCTACCAAGGTAAAAAGGGAAGAGGATGGAATGTAGCTCAGGACTTGCAGTCAGGATGCTGCCCACTGAAGCTTGTCATCTGCCCCTTCAGTGCTGATGAAATGAGAGAAAAAAAGGTGGGAAGATTTCGGTCAGGATGGACTTCCCTAGTCTAGGACTTACTCCTCTTCTCTCTGAGAGTAGCATTCCTGGATGTTAGGACAGGTGATGACCTCTCTACGACCCTCTTCCTTGTACCCCTTTCTCACCCTACTGAGGGCATGGGTTGGCATTTATCCCTAGATGACTGTCCCTAAGGAACTGCTGTTCTACTCTGCCTCATTACTAAAAAGAAGAAAAAAAGGATCCCACTCACTTTTTATCAGCTCAGAATGTCTACTGACTCTCCCCCTGCATCCTCAGATAGACTTCTCAGGAGCTTGAGAAAAGCAGGCATAGAAAGACTGGTGTATTTGAGACCCGCATACAGAGGGATGGAACATGATGTGGGAAGGGCCTCAAGTTTTAGTGTTGTCTAAAAAGAAAAAAAAAGTTTTGTCTAAAATCAAAATCCTTGATTGTACCAGAATATAAAATGATACAGGAAAAGTCCAACTTAAGGACATATAGGAAATTCTAAAAGACTAGAGAAAAATGTAAACTTTATTTGTTTTTGTTTAATTTTGGTTGAATTTCTTCATATGAAAAAAAAAAGGAATAATGATGCTTTGCTGCAAAATGTTTCTGTTAAAAACAGGATTATATTCTTTAAAGAAAAAGGGAAGGTAGACCTGCACCATCCCAGGTTTATTATAGTGACTAATTCAAGACATTGTTAACTATTATATGAAATATCTGCCCATGAAAATAAAAATTTTAAAAGGCTGTAAATAAATCTCCTTACTAGAAGGTGAGGCACAGAACAGTGCTGCTCCTGCTTTCCTGTACCCCCACCACCTTCTGCTCTTGGGCTGGATGCTTCCATCTGTTCTTTGTCAGAGACTTTCTCACCAGTCCTGCTTGTCCGATCAAGACTGACCAAGTAAACTAAAAAAGTCATCAAATGGAACGACACGGCAGACCTCAGACCACCCCTGCTGTCCCTTCCCTTCCATCCTGGCAGGGTTCCCAGTCCTCCTCACACTTTCCATAAATGGGTCTGGGGATGTTAAATGAAAAATAACAAAAACAAACAAAAAAACCCACCTGAGTAATTACTAAGGCTTATGGGATATAGTAATCTTCAGGGTCCCTCCTCCTTTATTCTGCAGTTGTTCAAAGACGACTACTTCTGCATCTCTGTCTACTGGGGGTGCTTGTCCCTGAGTCTTGCCTGGGTCCCGACTTAAGGTTGCTGTGGAGCCAGACTGTTCTATGGGCTCTTGTATGTACTGGCAGCTCCCTAAACAGCTGCCCATAACCTTTATCCATGTGGTCAGGTGTCCTGCTACCCTTGTCTACAGCAGGCAGATCAGTGCCCCCAACCACCCCCAGCTAAACTTTGAAAGAGGGTCCAGAAGTGTCTTCCTCAGAGCTAGTTACTTAGTGATGTGTTACCCAAGATGCTATAAATGTGTGCAGGTATCCTGCCAAACTCTAGCCCTCCTCCCCATCTGCCTTCTGCCCTGGGCCCCAGTGCCATCAGGGCCCCAAGGGAGGACATGCAGCACCTGTGGCTGGGATGGTCACAGGAACTACTCTGTTACTGCCTCCAGGTACTTGAAAAGATGCCCACCACATACCTTTCCTTGAAATGTAGACTCTAATGTCTGCCTCCATCCCTGTGTATGCTACACTGGGTTTCTCTAGTCCTCTCTTCCCTCCCAAAAGGTAAGGGCCTCACTGCTCCTGCTGGCCCTGGTAGTCAATGACCTGGGGACCTAGGACCTGGGATCCAGGGTCCTGGGTTGGACCTCAGGATGGACACAGGGCCATGGGGGCCCTGCATCTGGCCACTGCCTTGTTTTCTGAAAAGCCTCAGGTCCTGACTGTTCCAGCATTGGATACTTTTCATGGGATTCTTCTAGTGATAGTCAGGGGGGCAGCCCCAAACCCACAAAGCTATCTAAAACCACTGAGGTACCGTCAGGGGCCCAGGAGTCCTTCTGACCCTCTGGCCCTAGAGAACACCCAAGCTGTAAATTTGGCCTTTGTTCCAGTTTCCCCGTGCTGTCCAGGGAGCCCCCCAAAAGGACTTGACAAGCTTCAGAGCCTCTCTGCTGACTCAATACTGATCCAATATATAGATGACCTCCTGTTAGCTGCTGCCGACCCAGCCACCTGCCTTCAAGACACACAAGACCTGCTCCAGCTGTGCCAGGCCCTAAGGTACTGTGTCTCCACCAAGAAAACCCAACTTTGCCAGTGGGGAGTCTCCTATTTGGGGTACAAACCCTCCCAAGGTAAGAGAACACTTACTGCAGCCTAGAAGGAAGCCATCCTTTAGATTCCCCATGCCCCAGATCAAAAAACAGGCATACAAATTCCTAGGGGCAGTGGGATATTTCCAACTTTGGGTCCCAGGCTTGGATAAAATAGCAAGGCCCCTCTACTCAGCCATGACTGGGGACCAACCTTTAAATGTACAGACAAAAGAACTGGCTTTCCAACAGGCTTGGCCCTAACCCAAGCCCCAGCTGATGTTCACCTTTTTGTTCATGAAGCCCAGGGGATTGCAAAAGGCATGCTTGCTCAGACTTTGGGATAATGGAAAAGGCCTGTACTTATCCAAGCGCCTAGAACCAGTAGCTTCAGGATGGCCTTCCTGTTTACACGCCATAGTGGCTACTGTCTACTGGTAAAGGAGGCTGACAAGCTCACCTTAGGCCAAGACTTGTACTTAACAACCCCCCCCATGCATTGGAGACCCTCCTCTGGGGAGCAAATGGCCAATGGATGCCAAATAACCACATCACTCAGTACCAGAGCCTGCTCCTTAATTGGCTGTGTCTCACCTTCTCACATTCAGAGCCTCAACCTAGGAACGCTGATACATGATGATAACCCGGAGGTGCCCCTACATGATTGTGAGGACCTGCTGGACATCTCCCAGGTCAGTTGCCTGGATCTTCCAGACATCACTTTACCTAAAACAGTTGCTGACTTGTTCACAGATGGAAGATAAAGGAGACCTAAAAGGCTGGAGTCACTATGACCACCCAACAGGATATCATCTGAACCCAAGCCTTGCCCCAGGGCACCTCCTCACAAAAGACTGAACTGATGGCCCTCACCAGACTCTATGTTGGGGAAAGGATAAATGGATGAACATATTTACAGACAACAGATATGCCTTTGCTGCAAGAAAGAGGATTCTGACACTCCAATGGCAGAAGACCACATGGTCCAGCCGGCTTCCAGACTCCATGTTGAGCCACTCCTACTCCCAGGATAACCCAGAGCTGCTCCCTGCATAACTGTACCCTGTAGGATGATGGACCCTGCCACACTTCAGAGTCGTCCTTCCTGTAGCCCTTGGACACCTCCTTCTGGACCACCTTCATCAGACGACACATCTGGGTGCCACCAAACTGACTGAACTACTTTCTGGAATTTGTGGACACATTCTCCAATTGGGTGGTAAAAGCCTTACATGAGATAATTCCTAAGTTTTGGCTGCCTCTGTCAATTGGCTCAGATAATGTTAAATTAATTTTAGAGACCAGTGAAAACTGGCCCAACCTCCTGCTCCTGGTCCTCCTCTTCCTCTGGGCCCTATAAGATGGGTTTCACCCCTTATAAGATTATGTTCAGAAGCCTACCTCCCCTACTGCCTAGACTAAGGGACCCTGTTCTAGTAAAAGGCCTGTACTTATCCAAGCGCCTAGAACCAGTAGCTTCAGGATGGCCTTCCTGTTTACACGCCATAGTGGCTACTGTCTACTGGTAAAGGAGGCTGACAAGCTCACCTTAGGCCAAGACTTGTACTTAACAACCCCCCCCATGCATTGGAGACCCTCCTCTGGGGAGCAAATGGCCAATGGATGCCAAATAACCACATCACTCAGTACCAGAGCCTGCTCCTTAATTGGCTGTGTCTCACCTTCTCACATTCAGAGCCTCAACCTAGGAACGCTGATACATGATGATAACCCGGAGGTGCCCCTACATGATTGTGAGGACCTGCTGGACATCTCCCAGGTCAGTTGCCTGGATCTTCCAGACATCACTTTACCTAAAACAGTTGCTGACTTGTTCACAGATGGAAGATAAAGGAGACCTAAAAGGCTGGAGTCACTATGACCACCCAACAGGATATCATCTGAACCCAAGCCTTGCCCCAGGGCACCTCCTCACAAAAGACTGAACTGATGGCCCTCACCAGACTCTATGTTGGGGAAAGGATAAATGGATGAACATATTTACAGACAACAGATATGCCTTTGCTGCAAGAAAGAGGATTCTGACACTCCAATGGCAGAAGACCACATGGTCCAGCCGGCTTCCAGACTCCATGTTGAGCCACTCCTACTCCCAGGATAACCCAGAGCTGCTCCCTGCATAACTGTACCCTGTAGGATGATGGACCCTGCCACACTTCAGAGTCGTCCTTCCTGTAGCCCTTGGACACCTCCTTCTGGACCACCTTCATCAGACGACACATCTGGGTGCCACCAAACTGACTGAACTACTTTCTGGAATTTGTGGACACATTCTCCAATTGGGTGGTAAAAGCCTTACATGAGATAATTCCTAAGTTTTGGCTGCCTCTGTCAATTGGCTCAGATAATGTTAAATTAATTTTAGAGACCAGTGAAAACTGGCCCAACCTCCTGCTCCTGGTCCTCCTCTTCCTCTGGGCCCTATAAGATGGGTTTCACCCCTTATAAGATTATGTTCAGAAGCCTACCTCCCCTACTGCCTAGACTAAGGGACCCTGTTCTAGTTTCTCTTAAAGTATCTCCAGTCTCTCTAACAGGTCCAGGCTACAGTCCATTCTGACCACTGAGACATCCTCCCAGTTCCCTCCTCTACACCCTGCCACCTATTCCGAAAGGAGAGAGAGGCCAACAGTTCCTGGTTCAGTTGTTGGTTTGATTGCAATCCATGGCTGACCACCTTGTTTCCAGGCCTGACAAGACACCTCATCCTTCTCCTCCTGGGTCCAATGATTGAGCCTTGCCTAATTAACTGACTATTAAACTTTATCAAAGAACAGATAACTTCTGTCAAATTAATGTACCTTGAGAGTACAGTACAACCCTGTCACCTGAGAATACTGCGTCAAGGCTTTGTCTCTACCCTAAGACCAGGGGGAAGGAAATGGCAAAACTAACTCCATTTTGCTCCAGTTGACTTTTGCTTTACCCTGTGATTTTGTCCAGCCATTCCCACTGCAGCCAGCCAGACAGAACATCTTATGCAGGCAGCTTCAGGGAGTACACTGTTTCTACAATACTGGGAAACTTACAAGTAGCCAGGTAGCACGTCCAGGTAGCACGTCCTCCTACCCAGCCTAACCAAAACTTTTTGTTAACTGAAAATTTTGTTAACTCACCTGCCCCTGGTCTGGTGTAACTGTGGTGATCTGATGCAACTATGGCTATTGGCTTTGCCCCTGGCATGATGTCATTGTAGTCTTAAGCTTTATAAACCCTGCCCTGCTTCTCCTTGAGGTCGAGCATTCTTTCGGGCATTAGCCCCCTCTCTGACCACTGGCTGTTAATAAAGAATTTCAGATTTGACCATCACTATGTGGCGTTCCTCTGTGCATCTCATTCAGTATTACATCACCATAACAAAATCCCTTAGAGAATGCCTTAAAGAACAGGGATTTATTTACTCACAGCTCTTGTTGCTGTTGCTGTGGTTTCAGTACTGAGGATGACCCCATACCTTGCACACACTAGGCAAGTGCTCTACCACCAGCTACATCCTCATCCATTTTTTTTGATTCAGGGTTTCTTTATGTAGCCAGGCTGGCCTGGATACCCATCTGCCTCAGAACTCCTAGTACTGGGATAATAGTCTCAGCCACTGCATCTGGCTATTTTCCCCTCACCATTCTTGAGGTTCGAAGTCCAAGTGAAAATGTCAGCAGTGTGGGTCTCTTACTGGATCTTTCTCCTTGGCTTGCACATGTTTCTTACACTATTGGTTCTGTCTGTTTGTTATTTTTAAAAATATTTTATTATTTTCATTTATTTTTTGTCTTTTTTTTTTTTTTTTGAGACAGGGTCTCCTTTAAGCCCCCGCTTTCCTGGAAACTGAGCCATCTCTGTAGCCCGTTTCTGTTTTTTTAAACACAGGGTCTTGCCTTTGATGTAGGCTGGCTTTGAGTGCACTATATGGCTCAGGATGGCTTAAAACTTGTAACCCTCTGGTATCAAACTTCTGAGTGCTAGGATATCAGGTGTGTGCTGCCATTTCCAGGTCTTAGATCTCTTATATTAATATTTCTTGTTTTAATTGTAGACATAAGACACCTGGCCACCAACCCTCAACAGATGGTTTAACTGATTCACAGGAACAGCATGTAAAGGGATTCTCAAGAGATTATGAATCCTTAACTTGCCCTAGGCAGGCCTCTGACCACCTCTGGGATGTTCAGTGATAAATAATCTTTAACAGAAAGAAAGAATGAGAAAAAAAAAGAAGTCATGATGTGTATCTTTGCCCCTATGAACTAAAGTTCTCAGAAAACAAGCCACACTCATGTCAAAGATTCTACAAGGTCAACTGAATGATTAGCACTTTACAAATGTGCAGAGGTGGAATGTTGCAGGTCCATACCCAAAGTCTCTGAGGCTATAATTAGTTCCTTAGTAGCCATTCACAGCCCACCTTTGTGTCTAATCTAGCATCTTTTCAACTATCAGGGGAAAAAAAATCTTAGGAATCCATGCAGACCACTAGGTTCCATCAACCCTGACTGCCATCAGATAGCATCTGGGGCCTACTACAGCAGGATTTCCTGCTTTGCTGTAACCTACCTACCCAATAGTCTCAACAACACATTTGGAAAATGCCTTGATTTATGTACTTTTTTGTTGTTGTTGTTGTTCTGTAACTATAAGAACTTCGTGGAACAGTTTCCACCTTGAAACATGATATTTGGGGTTACCTGAATCTCTGTTCTACGTACACTCTCATTTGGCTCCAGGATAAACAATCTCTTAGTCCCTTTGCAATGAGAGCTGTGTCAATAGCCATGATAAAAGATATAGTGGGGACATGGTCATTTCTTGGGATTCTTGCATTCTACTTTTGAAGTGTTTCCATAAAGAAAAATATACATTAATACATTATTTCCAACTCTCATTTGGCCAGGCGTGGTGGCACAGGCATTTAATTCCAGCATGTGAGATGCAGAGGCAGGTAGATCTCTGTGAGACAGAGGCCAGCCTGGTCTCCATAGTGAGTTCCAGGCCAGCTGGTACAGCAGGGAGACCGTGTCTCAAACAAAACAAACAAACAAACAAACAAACAAACAACTCTAATTTGGAGGGGAAGAAGAAAAATCTTTCTTCTACAGCCATATTAAGCTTAATATGTGGGACCTGTGAATTAAAACCACAAAAGACAAATTAACAGGAGAAAAATGCTTATTTTGTTTGAACGAAGAGGCTTCATAGAAAACTAAAAATGTTTAAGAGGCAGATGATTTTAATAGTGTGAAGAAGGGAGTAGACACAATGAGGGGAGGTTGGACTTCCAGGGGAGAGCTGAGTTTTGGAAAGATGGAAGGGGATGGACTATGTAGTTGTTTAGGAAAGCTGTTGTGTACAAAAGAGGCCTCTTCTTCTTCAACCCAGAAAGGGGCTCACCTTCACAAAGAGAAGCTGATGCTTAGGTTTTCAGCAGAAAGAGGAAAGGCAAGATACTTTTATCCACTGTTTGGCCCTTCCTTTCAGCTCAAATTATCCTCATGCCAAAGTGACATCTTTTAGGGTAGCATATTCAGAGCCCCTTTTCCAGGCTGGGCATGGTGGTGCAGGCCTTTCATACCAGCAGAGGCAGGCAGAGCTCTGTGAGTTCAAGAAGGCCAGCCTGGTCTACACAGTGAGTTCCAGGCCAGCAGGGGCTACAGGGAGACCCGGTCTCAAAAAGA